GATGTAGTGACCATCTTTGTCTCTCTTAATTAGTTTTGGTTTGAAATCTACTTTGTCTGCAAATAAGATTGCTACCCCTGCTTTTTTCTGGGTTCCTGTCACTTGGTGAACTGTTTTCCATCCTTTTGCTTTCAGTCTATGAATTTCTTTTTCAGTTAGGTGTGTTTCTTGTATACAGAATATTGTTGGATTTTGCTTCTTAAGCCATTCTGCCAGTCTATTTCTTTTGATTGGTGAATTGAGGCCATCAACATTGATGGTTATAATTTATAGATATTGACTCATCTTTGTCATGATTTTTCATTGTTGTTGGCTCTTTTATATTTTATTTTTCCCCCTTTCCCTTTAGTTTCTTGCCTAGCATGGTAGCTTCCCTCTGTTGGCCTCATTTCTTTTTCTAGGATATTGTTTAGAATTGCTTGGAGTGCTGGTTTGGTGTTCATGAAATTTCTCAGGTGTTCTTTGTTGTGGAAATATCTAATTTCCCCATCAATTTTGAAAGATAATTTTGCAGGATACAACAGTCTAGGATGGAAGTTATTTTCTTTTAGGGCTTGAAATACTTCACTCCAAACTCTCCTTGACTTGAGGGTTTGTGTTGAGAAGTCTGCTGTGATTCTGATGGGCTTGCCTTTGTGGGTGATTTGTTTCTTTTCTCTAACTACTTATAGGATTTTGTTCTTCTGTTTGGTTTCTGGGATCTTGACTATTATATGTCTAGGTATAGTTTTTTTTTTTTGATCGTGGCTAGTTGGAGTTCTATATGCCTCACTTATCTGTATGTCCAATTCTCTACCTCTGTCTGGGAAGTTTTCTGCTATTACTTCTGTGAACAGCTTTTCTTATGTCAATTGTACTTTCTCTTGCTTTTTCATGGACTCCTATCAGTCTTATGTTATTCTTCTTTGCATCATCTAGCAGTTGCTGGATTGATTTCCCATGGTCCCTTACTATTTTGAAGTAATCTCTGTTTTCATGGTCATTAACTACAATCCTATCTTCTATATCTGATATTCTATCTTCACATTCCCTTAATTTGTTGTGCATACTTTCAATGGAGTTTTTAATCTCCTGGATATCTGTTTGAATCTGTTTCATAGATTCCATTTCTTTCTTATGTTGGATGATCATGGTTTCCCTTTCTTTCTTATG